ACATTAAACATGGGGGTTGGGGGGTGAACCTGGATTTATAACCATTTACGCAGCACTTAAATCAGTGCTCTTTTTTTTTTAATACATATTTGCCAGCCTGCCAGCATTTTTTTGTCAAATCAAAAAGAAGACAAACCTAGTACTATTTTTCTTCTGACTGAGATATCTCCAAAGGCTTCTAAAATGTATTTGTGAATCATTCGCTCACACATACTGAGACACATTTTCAAGGAATGCATTTTATTTGGCCACGTGACAGTACTCTAATAAAACCATCATTTTTGATAACTGGATATAATCCCTTTGCAGTCAATGACTGCCTGAAGTAAAGTGCCCATGTAATCAATTTCACTTCCCTGTTTGGAAATCCTGTGACAGGCCTTCCGTACAGCCACTTGCACATTCGCTGCTTTTTTTTCTGTCGCTGCCAAGACTTTTGTCTTCCAGTTCAGGCATTTGGCTAGGTCATTGGCGAGTACGGTATTCAATTATCTTGGTTGCCTTTAAAAAGTCCGGGCAAGAGGACTGAGACCACCTCTTCAAGCAGTTACAATCCGCTTGTTCCGTGAGCACCAGAGAAGGGATGTTGCACACACTTGACCAATCGTAGCAGTTTGTTTCACTGAACATAACATGGCAAGTGTGAACACATCCACCCATCCATTTTCTGATCCGCTTATCCTCACGAGGGTCGCGGGGCGTGCTGGAGCTTATCTCAGCTGTCTTCGGGCAGTAGGCGGGGGACACCCTGAACCGGTTGCCAGCCAATCGCGGGTCACACATAGACGAACAACCATCCGCGCTCACACTTACACCTAGGGACAATTTAGAGTATTCCTTTCACCTGCCATGCATGTTTTTGGAAAGTGGGAGGAAACCGGAGTACCCGGAGAAAACCCACGCAGGGACGGGGAGAACATGCAAACTCCACACAGGAAGGCCGGAGCCGGAATCAAACCCTGCACCTCTGCACTGTACTCACCAGTCGACCGTGTCACAGTGAATGTGTAATATGTGCCTCTAGTGAAGATTTATTATTATTATTATTATTTTTTTATATATATATTAGTATTCTCCTTTAGTCCCATTTGAAGGACTTCATTTCTTAGCATCGCCTCACATTTCCCCGTTTCACTTTTATACCTCACTACACTGTTTTACATTCCCTGCCCTCCATCCCAAACCCCCCAGAAGAGTGTGCCTCCACTTCTTCTGTGGAACTGCTGTGATTCGGAGTTATCAGTGATTCGTATTACATATTCTTATCGGCTTAGCGTGTTAATCCTCCTGTATCTTAGTGGAAGTATGGCAAGCCTTCTGAGGCATTTTTCAGAGGCGTTTCCCAGTCTTTAAAATGACAGACATTTCATGAAATAAACTGAATATTGGTGGTTTTCTCTTTCAGATGCTTACAATGCAATACACTGTATGCCTTCCATCTAATGCACCTCTTGGTAAAACAGCATTTTACAGACATTTTGCTGATGGATACCATTTTGCCTCTTCTGAATATTTGATGTTCTGCTCACCAATTATTCATCTTCACTTAGTGTGTTTAAGTCAGTAAAGGCATGCAGATTAACACTTTTTTTGGCTGTACAGATCCTCCAATCGACTTAAGTTTGTCACTTTCTACCTTCATGAAATGTACACACTCTGGGTGGACCGACTCTGAAATGAGGTTGTTCCCTGTCTACACTTTGTCTGAAAGCGCCACTCTCAGCAACTGCAGTCATTGTAATGGTGGCAATGGAGAGTGAGACTTTGAATCATTTGTTTTTATTTGATCTATTCTGACCGTGTCTGTGTGGCAAAACCCATTGCTAGGCAACACTTTAACAATCGCTGGCTCGCGCATTTCTACTCATGTAACGGCTCCAAACAGGCATTCAGTCATGTGCACAGTATTCTAATTAAATTACTTTTATTGTATATATTAAATACAGCATGCAAGTACACATGCTCTTTCAAAGTAGCCTGTTTGATGAGCCGCGTGCATGCCATTGGCGATGATCAGTATAACTTAGCGATCCACTACACCCAATTCACATGTAAAGCGTGACATTGGGTGTGTTCAAACCTCAGGGCATGATGCCCTATCCGGATTTGTTGTTAAATCCAATCTTTTTATGTTTTCGTTCACATTACAAAAGCAAATGTGACTTCTAATGTGAGCACAACGCGTCCGTGATGTGACACGAATCCGCATAAAGTATACCATGCAAAAAAAACCAAAACAAAAAACAAACCATCATGTGGCACAGTGTTTACAAAAGCAAATATGGTCCCGGGTGTTGGCGCTCATTTTATCATCTGATATCGTGAATAATACTTTCGCAAATTTTGGGGATTGGAGGCGTTGCTCCTTGATCTCTTCCTTTAATGTAGAAGTCGGCTAAGGATGACGTCATAGCTGCGCGTAATAAATGAAGCGCCTATGCCTACGATCACGAATAATGTTCACTATATTCTTCACGTTTCATGGGGATTAAATTAAAGTCAAATGTTAAGACAACTGTTACTCAGGCGCATCGCATACATACACACACACACACACAAACACACACACACACACACACATATATGAAAGAGGCCCAGGTTGGATTCGAAAAAAATCTGAATTTTTACTGCTCATGCGGCATGAAAAAATTAGATACGGTATATGCCCCCCGTCAAACAAAAACCAAAAAGGGAATTGGGCTGCAAAATGAACATAGGCCGAGTTTCCAACCTGATCTCTATAGAATTCCCGTATTTCATGAAAACCCCCACAACGCACGAATAAAGATCACAAGGGCTGGATTTCACAAGGCGAGTGTGCTGAAATAGAAAATGTTTCAGATATAGTAAGAAAAAAAAATGTCCTTGGATGTTTAATTTCACACTTGATTGTTGGGCAGGCAGTCAAGAGACATAATAACTATTTTCATACGAGACATTAAAAGGGCAATTTTCATATTTCCCTGTAATGCCGTGGCTTTGCAAGCCATTTTGGAAAACTACTTTTTCAACTGCAATTTGTGGAAGGCCCCTTTCAGTTCCAGCATGACTGAACTTCACTATGTAATCCTCCAGCCTTGAAACAGCTTCAGTCCAACTGGACTCATAAACAAATACTTTTTATTTTATCCAGAATTACTTCTAAAATCTGGCAACAGTTGCCATTGGTGAAGCACCACAATCTGGTGACATTATTTTATGTAGTCCAGACAAGCCTGGTTATTGAGAGTCTGATTATTGACACAGTCCAAGCACACATCAACACCTGCAAACACACACGCGCGTCCTTCTTGGAGATACATTTAATAGGACATAAAATGCTGTGTATTAACAAATGTATACTCCTTAGATGTGTCGTAATTGATTTTGCGATGTTCCAATTTAATTTAGGCACACATCAAGTCTTAATATAGTCGGAGTATTGAAATTGCTCTCTTTGTTCCAGATAATTGTTTTAATTCTTGTTCTGAAGCCTCTTAATTTGTTTTATCTAGTCGCCATCATTTAACTAGGTCTCATTTATTTTTAAAAAATGAAATGAATCCCAGTGTGCATTTGCATCGTGTCAACGAATAAAATGATTGGATTTCATGCGTCTTTTGAAATTATTTAATATGACATCACAATGCTTTTATTATGGAATGATCAAATATTTGTTCCGTAATATTTTTCATTTGTATTGTATTGTATTGTATTGCATTGTATTTGACATCGATCGATCGATCTTTACCGTCTTTGGATTTGTTCTCGCTTGACTTTGTGAGTCAGCTTTGCAGGACCCTTCCAGCAGATACAGATGGATTTACCATTAGATAATGACAAATGCTAGGCGTAACTGAGGTGATTTCAGCACTTACTATTCCTTTGGGAGTCTGTGTTCACTGCACTAGAACCCCACATCGTCCACCCCGACCAAAGATCTTAATTGAATGGGTGGCTCTGCAACCAAGTGATTCAGCCTGACATACATTTCTGCTAATTTCCAGTAGGTGATGTAGTGTGACATGCAGGTCAAAATATTCAAGGTTGTAGCGCAGAAGACATTGACATGAGGCATGATTTGTTGTTTGACTTTTGCTCTTAAACAGAAGGGCATCATCTTTTCGAATAAATGGGTTGTGAGACAGACGACTGCTTAGGAGAATGTTTCATTTTATGGCCTGTTTTATACATAGGTTATAATATTGCCTGGAGTGATGTGGTATGTTTTCTTATCAAAAGGACACCAACTGAGATGGGCACATAAGAAACTGAGGCTGTGTGAATAGTGATAGTGATATTATGGATTTGAAACATATACATTGTTTATCAAAGCATCAGATTGAGTGACATCACTTTGTATTGATGATGATGATTTACCACCTTTTAATGTCAGGCTCCTGTTTGGCTCATAAATTTGTAAATTTAATATGATTGTAATATATGTGTCTCACCAGCTTCAAAGCTCACTGGTTTATCAATTTAAACGTTTGCTTTGTTGATTTTCATTTCAACCATCAATCATTTTAAAAGAATAACTTAGGACATGTTTGGAAAAAAAATGGTGTTTAGCGAAGGAGGGTGAAAGCTAGAGCATTTTTTCAGTGTGTATATGTAGTGAAATATTGGTGTCCTTCATAGTTATCATAGTAATGATGACAATGGCAAAGCCATAACCATTGTGTATGCAGGTAAAGTGATCAAACAATGTGCCTTTGCATTGGCGTAATTCAGCAGTGAATCATAGTGAGGGACAGTTCTCAAATGGTCTCAAAAGGCGTCCCTTTTTGCTCTATATATAGCAAAAAGGGACGCCTTT